CAGGGTATGATATTCCTCATATTTCATTATGCTTATTATTTCATTATTAAAATCCGCGATGAGACAATATTTAAATTAATCCAAAATTTTTTAGATCTAGTACCATCTAATCAGTGTAAAACTGAGATAAACGACAATTGGGATGATGATGATGATGAAATTTTTGCTTCCATAAGCACCCAGGAAATCTTACCTGAAGACGTAAAAATGGACGAAAATCCCAGCACCAGCAAATTTGCAGCAGTAGCTGCTCCAGTGGTGCACCGTAAATGGCGTTCGCTTGCTTTAAATGCAATACTTAACCCCAGGCCACCCCCCCAACTTTGTGAGACACCGGGAAGAAGCTTGCGACAAATCGAAACTACGACTAGTACACCAGGCGTCAATAGACCGAAGAGAGGGCGGCTCTCGGGCTTAAGTCGTAATTATACCAATACAAAGAAATAAATACGACTTTATATATCAATGCCTAAACTAATATCAATATACCTAGATGTGTCAAGGAGGTGATTTTACTAATCATAACGGTACCGGTGGTAAATCCATTCGCAAGATAATATAACGGTGATTTTAGTTTTATTAAAAGATCGTTCCAAAATCAATGAAAACTATAAAAAGTATCAAGAAAAATAAGTATGCTAAGTGCATAAGATTCGTTCAAATTTTTCTTCTTTTTTTATTTTTTTTTTTTTTTATAAAGGTATTAGGTAAAGCATATCTCGAAGCTTTGCGATAATCGTGTATCTATGTATATATTTAGACAATTCTTAATGATTTTTATTTGCCTTAGACAGATAAATTCTGTAGCGCCTTTTTTTAAAAGCAACGAATAACTACATGTAACTAACCACCCATCCAATCCAATAATTTATGTACCTTGTTTACACTTTTTATCAAATTACGTAGTACATTAATTTAACTGTAATGAGATCCATATTTTGAGTACACTGCGTATGCAGTATTATTAGTATCGTAAGAGAATATTGAAATAATTGAAAAATTATTAATTTGTAAGAAGATTTATTTTATTGTACCTTGTGTATCAGGGTTTATTAAAAACATAAATAATGAGATAACGGAAATTTAAATTCTTAAGTATGTTTTAATTTCTTATACTGCTTAATTCAACTAGATTATAATTCTTCTTTAGTTTTTAGATCATTTCCATGAGCACGTAGAAATATATATTTTTACCTTAACATTATATATTAAATAAAAAAATCTTTTAATTCCAAACTGTGAAAACCGTTTTTTCAATATTTTATTCGACTTTCGTTTATCTTAGGATGGAACGTGCAAAGTGTGGCACTCTGTGGCTTTGCGTATAGACATAAAAGAGCGACGTTGAGAGAAAATGGAACGTCTATAAATAAATGATAATTACAAACAATAAAAAAAAAATGTTAAAATCGGCCGTAGAAACAAAGGAGGTTTTATCGACTTCTGGGTCCGTATTTCTTTTAGATCAGAGGGCGTTATTGTGCTTATGTGTTGGCGGATCACACCTATTCTCGCAGTAAAGCTTTAAATCATAGAACGCAGACGACAAATAATTTAAGATTTGAATGGACATTTATTGAGGAATGGAAGTGTTTTCTTATTCGAACCTGGTTGTAAACGACTCACAACCACTTTTAAATTTTGGCTACGGTTATCATGCAGGAATGCATTTGCCAAGTTTTTGGGAATTGAAATCAGACGAACTTTATAAAACTCGTTCTCCGGTGGTAGGCGTAAAACAGAAAAATATATACATACTTGTAAGCCGTGCAAAATAATGTAGGATCATTGGCCATTGGTTGCAAAGCAGGATTGTCACTAGCTTCCTTTTCCAATGTGATCGCTGCCTTTTTTTTGGCTTTCCCCTAAAAAATGCAAAGCATTTTAGATAGTAAAATACAAGGCTGAGACTCCAATTGGTCGTAACTAGAGTGAAAGTGAGTTTGTTTGGTTGTAGCTATTGGCTTCGGATGCTTTGGCCGCCGAATCCAAAGAAAGAGCGTTTTCTTTAGTGCATTTAATGATGGGTGTTTTGGGATTTGGCGAGGATAATGACACAGATTTATCTAACGCTTTGATTTGTAGTACTACTTAAAGAACTGTTGGCTATTTTTATAGTTAAATTATTTTTATTTTTACGATTTCTTTTAGCATCAATTTTACCAGGAATTGCACTTTGTCTACTGGAGGCTTCCTCATGGAGTATTTTTGTATTCACATCAGCTTTCGGAAAGATGTCAAACGCAAATGGTTTCGCTGTACTCGAGAAGGATGCAGATGAACTATTACTACTTAGTTTTTTGGACGGTGGACGACTTTTTAAAAAATGATTATCCCAGCTAGTAGTAGATGCTTCCAGCTGAGTTGGGTTTGTTAATGCAAATCCTTGATCAATTTCAGGAAATTTGAAATAATTGCCATTCTTATAACCAGCAGAGCTTATGACATCTAGAGGAGAATTCAAATTCAGATTGTTGATTGACGTCAACAACTTAGGAGAATAGGCAAGACGTGTATTATTACCACCAACAGTGCCGCTCACCAGCTGCTTCCGTGCTGGTGAGTATACGAGGCGAGCCTGATTCATCGATAATCATACTTAGTGAGTTATTGCCACTATTGCTACTTTCCTTCCTATCGCATTCTCCTTGTCCGTTTCCATAGCACATTCAACAGACGCAGCATTCTTAATTATCAAATGTTGCGGCGAGCACGATGATGTTTGAAAAATACGTCGACTTTGAGTGCCGACTTTATTATGTATGGTTTCTGCTAAATCCATTTGTGGTTTCGATATGTCGTTGTGAAATTAACACATTATCTTACGTAGCATCTTAATCCAGCAAAAGAGTAAACATAAGTTTTCTAAGTGTGGGTGATTTTTTCCATATTTATAGAATATACCTGGAGTGCGGAGTGGAATGTAACATGAATTTGCAGAGACAATATTTCTCTCCGTAAAAGCTTTTTGAAAAATTTGTCTTTTTAATTGTAATCACACTATCTGGAAG